GAACGTTTTCTCTTGGATTGCAAGCATGTCTGTAACCGTGCTTTCAATCAGCATCTTCATGGTGAATGAGACTAGCCATGACTAGGAGCGGCTGAGTACAGGGGTAAGGCCAAAAGATTAGATGCCGGCTTACGGCTGCAATGTGATGGAGATTCAGACCCATCAGGCATCGAGGGTGAACTGTTTTCCACACCTATAGTTGCCATGGGCAGCTGCAATTAGCAGACCTTGCCGCAACCAGTTCCGGTTTTCCAACCTGCGCCGCCGAGAAAACAACAAGCGCCACAATGCTGCCAATCCTTTGCCGGGGCGTAGCAGATAGCTGGTACTTCTACGAGGGTAGTAGGTCCCGCAGTAGTACTTAGTTGAAGCAGCAGCTCACAGCCTCAAGAGCACTCTTTGGGGGTTTGGCTCATGACCGTCAACACGGAATCTTTCCGGGCCTTGCTGGGCATTGGGCTTCGGGTTTGCAGGTTTTGGGTTCCCGAATGCCCGAATCCGGAGCCCTGGAGTCTCAAAAAAGAAGCCAAATGCTGCAGCCAAGCACCTGTCCTGAAGTCAGTACATTCCCTCATAGTCTTCCCCTCGTAGATATAGCCAAAAATATCCCCCCCCCTCCCACCCTCCCATCAAACTGAATGCTGTACATTTCCTGTAGAGTGGGCGTGAAGTCGGAAGATAGCGGACCTAAGCCCAAAAAGCCGGAACCCCAAATTCAGGCCCAGGGCTCCGCTCCAAAGGCAGAATCTTCAGAATCTCAATTTAGGGATTTAGGCTTTGTAGCGCTCAGACCAGAACACCAATCACCCTAAAGATCGCCAAGACTTTATACTTCAGAATTTCTAGACCACCCCAACACCCCAAAATCCGTAAAACTACAGTATATGTTTATAGTGTCTTTTGGTATAGTCACCAGGGGTGGCATTTCGCCGCATGTCGTGCCTATCGGAAAGACCCCGGACACCTCTGCAGCAGCATGCCAACTCCTTGGTCGCTGTGGATCCAGCCGCCGGGCAGATGTTTAAGATGATAACGATGCTCGTGATGATAGTTTTCTAGTAAGTAGAAGTCGTCGTAGTGGTGGTGGTAGTAGTAGTAGCAGCAGTAGTAGCAGTAGTAGCAGCATCAACAGCAACGGCGGCGCATCGCGTAAGCTAGGTCCAAGCCATATAGTATGTACCATAACAACCAGAAGCGCACAGGACTTTAGGATTCCAAAAATCGCAGTGCTCCTGGACTCCCATGTTTTATGGATTAGGGTTTAGAGTTTGCCGCAAGCTTGAACTCAGCCTTCAGACTCCACAGCATGAAGAACGGTGGTAGCTGTCCCCATAGTAATGGCGGCAGCAGCAGCAGAAGCACTCAGTCTTGCTAGGTGTAGCATTTAGGGCTTGTTTGATTGCTAGCAGAATTGAAGCTCCTGGATTTGAACCAAAAGCGCTGTTTCTACATGGTTTTGATATTAGAACCAGAGCAGAAAACATCCTCAAATCAAAACACAGGCTCTATTTTAAAAGACTTAGGGACCTGATTTGAAGGATTTGTTTCCTTGTATAGCACCGGTCCATGGCAACAGAATCATAAAGAACAACCTTCAAACCAAATCATTCTAGGTCTTAGTCTGTTATCTATTGTTTGAGGAAAACTTGCGACCTCAGTTAGAATTCAAGGAACACTGAACGTTTTGTGGCTTTGATATGAAACGTAGCGTATACTGAACTTGTAGTTTCAAACCTCCATTTCAGTCTTACTGTCGCGTGTAATGATTATGGGTTGGGGATATCCTAGTTTTGAAGCAAAAGTGTTGCTGTTGCACCCTTTCGATCCTGAAACCCTATACCATGAACCTTGGCTTCGAGGCCTGAGTTCTTAAAAAGGGGGGTTAGGGGTATCCTAGTTTCGAACGAAACGCAGTGCCGTTGTAGGTGCCATTGCTTGTATACGATTTTGGCATTGTTAATCTTATAACGTGAGCCTGTAAATCGAGATGGCAATTTCTTCATTGCACATAATAGAAGATTCGGGATGTCCGAATTTTGGAAGAAAGTTATTTGTTTTCCTGGTTTCGATGTATCAACTGGTATAACGGAGTGTAACTTGTCAGTCGTAAAGAAGTGTCTAATTTACAAGTTTGAGGGGCATGTGAATACTGAGTTATTTTTGTAGAAGTCTTTTCTAGGTTTCGGGAATCCACGTTAAACCCAACTGCTGATGTGAGTATTTTGCCGAATCTAATTAGTTCTAATTGCTGGGGGGGGGAATATCAGCAAGCAGAGATTATGAAAGGACAAAGTAGTACAATCCTAAGCACAGAGAGACACTTTGCATGAAGAGGCAGTTATATGACCTGCGCGACGGTATAGATGTTTGGTATCTAGTTAAGTCGGTGATGATGTGTACCGCCTTAGAACAGAGCACATCATACTTTGGGGCATACTTTATGTGGTAGGTGAGTGTACTATGCTAGGTCCCGCAATGCAGCATGCCAGTAGCCTCAAATTGAATTACGTGTAAATCACTGGTCTGTGCTGTTGGTTCGTGTGAAAATCCGGTGTTTCGTTCGAGTCTTTAACTAGTCGGTGTCATGTAGTGGAATAATGTTAAACGGACTACACCAGTTTACAGACTGCAGCCGAGAAAGGCCGCGCCGATGCTGTTCCCTATGTACACTGTGGCTGCTGAAAGACTGCTGGAGATGACCAGAATCGACATGCACGAGAAGCTGAAGGCCTCATGGCAGCATGCAGCAAGCTGCCGAATGTGAAATATCGATGCGCTGGTAGCAAACTGCACTGCCAGGATGGTTTGCTGTAGTGTACAGTCAGCACCATCGCAGCAGGGGAGAGCTGCGAAGTTTTCGTGCGGGCGGATGGTAGTTTCGCACATCCGGCAGGGTGTAGCAGTTGGCAGTACCTAAGGACCCCGAAGGTGAACATGCTACGGGGACGTATGTTTTGCTGCATGGTGTGGGCCAGTGTAGGCACTGCTGACGTGCAATCAAGTATGATCCTGTAGTATGGTTCACACGTATCCTCAGCCCTGAACCTTAAAACGCAAGAAAACATGCACTGAGTGCTGTGCAGGCTGCGGGCGATATCATTGTCTTCGACGACAGCATGGGCCACGCTGGCTTTGTCTCTCACCAGTGGGTTGCTAAGCAACATTTGATTCTTCTCAACAGTAAGGCCCGCCCCCCCTTCTTTGCAGTAGCCCCCCTTGATTCTGCAGGTGGTGAATAGGGACCCCCCGCCCCCCCTGCCCCCAAATACGGACCTCTGAGGTTGCCCAGCAACACCCTGATCCTGAGTTCAAGCAGATGCAAGTGCTCCGGGATGTCCTCAAGCACCTCTTGAAAAGCCAAGGAGCAGTTCCTCCGGACGCCATAACGGAAGCTTGTGTGCCCACGGCCAAGGCTGTGCCGTACAAGGAGTTCCAATCACGGTCTTTGTTCCTTTGGTATGACTATTTCTCTGTCCCTCAGCTGGTGCGACACTTGGGCAACTTCACTGACACGGAGAATGCCAACGACAAGGCCCTGGCCATCAGAAGCATCCCCTCTTATGTCTCAAAGTGCCGCTTTTTCTTCGCCTTGTGCCCAACGATCCGCGATCCATTTGCAGATAGGCTGCTGAACACGATGAGTTGGACACGGCGAGGATGGTGCCGGGTGGAAAGGGCATCGCGAGAACTCTCCGAGCATGACACGTGGATACTCGTGGAAAGCTCCACGTGCTTGCAAATGGTCGGCACCGCATTATCCCTTTTTCCCGGAGAGGTAGCTCAGGGCGAGTTCACTGTGGATAGAGACCGAAGCAAGTTGGCCCCAGTTGTGCAGGAGATTGTCAGGCGAAAGTTGAAGCTCTCTCTCAAATCCGGAGATTTTCCCAGCTACCGTCGCCACCTCAACTTGCAGTCGGTTTACCTTCGAGGTTTCGACGTGGAGCCTATACAAGAAGACTTTGGTCCCAATGTAGAGGATGATTTTCCCGCCGATGATGTCGTCGCACACTTCCTCCGCCAAAATGGCCTCACCAGTGTCGGTCGCCGGGATGCTGCCGGTTGGTGCCCGCTACATTATGCAGCCCTCTCGGGGAAGGTGCAGGTGCTGGAGGGCTTGCTGCGGCAGCGAGCCGATCCCACGCGACGCACCTCCAAGGACGAGCCCAAGTTGGGTTTCGCACCTTTCGTCTCGGCCTTGGACTTGGCTGTTTTCTACAAGCACAACGACGCCGCCCGCCTGCTGATCACTGCTCGGGCACGACTTCAAGGCGGATTCCTTCCAGCAATACACTATGCTGCCATGTCTGACAATGCAGAAGGCATCCGCCTCCTCTGTGAAGCCGGCAGCAAGGCCATGATACGAAACATCCTCGGCCCAAGCACTTTGAATACCGCAGCAGGATATGCAGGCCTGGCTGCTATTCGGGAGGTGGTTCGGCAGGCACACGAAAATCTAAGCCCTTTCGAAGTCTCCAGCGCCCTGGACAGTGCCATGAGCGCTAGGGGAGGCTCCGCAGAGGTCGTGGAGCTCCTGCTCGGTCTCCGAGCCGATGTAAACTACCGGGCGGATATCGCACGCGATCAGTCAAAGCTGGGCCAAATGATTGTCATGGCCAAGTCACTGCAGCACAGATTTGGCCGAGCCACGGTGCTCTCGGCGCTCTGTTACCATCAGCAAGGCCGCACACCCCTGATGGTCGCCCTGCAGAAAGCACAGTACGAGGGAGCGGCGGCCCTGATCTCGGCCGGGGCCCGGCTTGATCTTGCAAATTCCCAAGGCTGGAAACCTGTCGACTTTGTCACTGGCCAGGCAATCCCCGATTTTCTGCGGCAAGGTCTCGAAGGGGACCCAAAAGAGTGTGAAGCTGTTACTGAACAGGCGCTCTATGTGCAGATCTGAGACTCAAAAAGGCTTCATGGGCGCATGCGCAAACCCACTAGAAACGAGTGGCAGCTCGAGCCTTCTTCAGACCCCAGCTATTCTCCCGATGTCAAGCCAGGTGGGCATCATTACGCCCTACGAGGGGCAGCGGGCATACATTTGCGCAGTGCTGCAGCGTCAGACGACTTTCAGTCACAAGGCCCATGCTTTGACCGGAGCTATAGGGACCCTTAGCAGGGAAGGGGGAGGGGGGTAGTTACAGGTATTAAGAGCCCCCTACCCCCTAGCCCCTACCTTTGTAAGGGTCCCTATGAGATTTTTGGAAATGGGGAACCACTTGGTCAAGGAGTAGATTCATATAAAATTAAGCCAGTTCAATGCATACTGAGGGCCCCTCTGTCATTCAGTTATCCTGCTGAGTGGTCCATCGCAGTCAGAGCAGGAAAACGTTCGGAGGCCTCAATGAAAGTAACATCTTCTTGTGCTGCATGTGTCCATGACTACGCGGTCGAAATAGAGCCCAGTACTCAGCGCCTGGGCCGATAATATATTGCCCTTCAGCTAACCCTGGCACCCGCTATTCCTTACAGCCCATATAGCCGTGCCTGGACACTATCGCCACCCTTCTTTTTGTACTTCACAGTGTTAACTCAAAGCCATCGTAACGACCTGCATTCTTCTAGCCAACCATTGTACAGCTCACTATGGCAGAACCCTCTTTTAGGACCCTAAACTCTAAATCCTGACCCCACCCGGAGGCCTACGAAGAGATCGAAGTCGCCAGTGTCGACAGCTTCCAGGGCCGCGAGAAGGAGATGAGACCGGCCCTAGAAGTAGCCTGAATCGGGCTGTTGCAGGATTTTGTGTAAAATAAGATTGTTAGAGGGTTTTGTGTAAGACTTATCTGAGGGCTAGGGTGTGTGGAGGGGTTTGTTGTTATGGGGTGTTGGGCAATGTATAGGGCTTTTATTTATTGGGTGCTGGAACAGTTGACGGTAGCTTGTAGCACAGTACTACTATTCCCCAAGCTTGCCGCATCATGTTTGTAGTATCGTCCCCCCGACACCCTGATCCAAGTCTTGAGACCTGAATTGAGTAGTTCAGCAGGGGAGGAGATCAGAACAAATCGGGGTTCCGGGTCCAAGGAGATTTGGCCAATCATAAAACCAGGTTGCTTGGTTCTCGCTATGATTTTTGCTTTTGAGACGTCACAGCGTTACCAAGAAGGGCTTCTAGACTTCGCCCGAGTTCCGCAAATTGTCGCCTGAGCGGGGGCACAAGTCAAAACATGGGTCTTGTTCAAAAGTAAATCCAGAATGTAATGTAGGAGCCACATTAAGAAACCCTGGGCCTATAACACCAAAATTCAAAATAATTAGTAGGATTCAATTATAAGGAACCCTAATAAAGGCCCAAGGTTTCTTAATCAGGTTCCTACATTAGTGGGTTATGGTCGTTGAAGGCCCAAGGCGCCTTTGGGGTGGGGGTTGGGGGGGTAAGTCGTATGACATTGAGGTGTCGTCGCACTGTGAGATGGGAGCAGGGTTAAGGGTTCAGGGTCGGGGGATGGGTGTTTCATGTTGAGTCCTAAAGGTATTTGGGGCACGGAGTCTGATACGATGCCGTCTCCGAACCCTACGAGAAAGCACCCCGAGACGACAAAAGGGCTAAAACTCAACAAGCAAAAGTAATGTAGGGGCTTAAAGAAATTCCAACACCCTTGTGGGGGCTCCTTATCATAATTACAGTTTAATGGGCCCCCAAACCCTATTCAAATTAATCAGGCCCCCCTATTAGAAGTAAGAAAATTGTAGTTCTGCCTGCTTACGAGTCGGGGCTTCATGCCGCAAATCCTATCCCCGTTCCAATCATGCGACCACCGCTGAATCTCCGAAGAGCAGCTGTACAACGGCGGCCCGAATAATGACAACTGCAATAGCTTTTCCTCAGTGTGATTACATAAACCATGATGCACTCTTTCGAACTAAACCATTGCCTCAAGTAGTGACCCCAAACACGGCATTACTACGAATGCCCTAGACCCGGCCAGGATTTCATCCTCCTTTCCTGCGTGCGATCGAATCAGAACCAGGGAATCGGGCCTCTTGGCGCTAACCGGACAAGAGAACCTCGAAGACTGAAACCAAGAACCCAAACCCATAGACTAGCAACCGCTAATACCTCGGGCTTTGTTAGGGGCCCGAACACATTTTCCGGACCCTCAGCAACATGATAATGTATGGCTGATAGTTTATGAGTCACATGACAGGTCTATGCGGGTTACCTGCTGTCTTTGTTTCCGCAGGAACTTACTGCAAAGCCTAGCCCAGCCACAAGAATCACAAGAGCTGCCTGAAAGGGTACATGTAGGGTAACAGTTTTTGCGCGCTCATGAGTCAGTTGGGGTGTTTCCACTTTTTTTATGGTAATAATACTAGCAATAGTACCACTACTACTAATCAGAAAAAATTCATATTAGCGATAATCAGTATGTTTGCAAGAACTCCGGGCGTGCAGTTTTAGCACAGCTTTAACTTAAGCTGGCGTAACAGGTACCCACAGGCTCTATAGTTCCTTTGTGGACTTACCTTATTAATAGGATTCTAAATATGAGCGCCCCGAAACCTGGTGTTACAGGTAGTGACTTGATTTCCCCAAATTGAAAGTGATGCAGCGAGGATGAACAAAAGCAGTCAGCAGAGCATGCGAACTTGCTGAGCAGGGCTACAAGTACAGAACCATCGCTAATGCGTCTACGTACATCCACAATTAAGTTACGGACAGCCCTGCTTACTCAGCACCCTGACCCTCAAGACTCTAAGACTCAGGATGCCAATGCCAGCACGGTTGGAATTCAAGCCTAAAATGTAAAACTATCAAAACTAGCATGCGACCCTGATATAGCCACGACATGCCTAAGCCAGACCTGCCGTCCAAAAGCTTCACTCGTACTGTCGGAGCTGGACAGTTTGTGAGTTGTGGCCCTACGGGTTCTGAAGCTGTAGAAACTGTAGTATCGAGCTGCATCTAGGCTTCAATATATGAAGCAGCTATTCAGGAAATCCCTAGCTTGCCTTTTCCAGGTTTTTGAACGACCCGCGGCGCTTGAACGTGGCTCTGACACGCGCCAAGTACGGACTCATCATCTGTGGCAACGCCAAGGCGCAATCTTTGCGTCCGAGCCATAACCCTAAAATTGAGGTTCTCATCAAACATAGCTACCTAGAGGCTCCATACTAGTTCCTTTTTCTGGTTCATATTTAGAATCCTATAAGGTGCTCCCAAAAAAGAACTACTATGGAGCCGATGGATATAGTATAGACTATGCTTATGCAGAAAAAGCATTACAAGCTGCAGGGATCCCGTAGTTTCGGAATCAGGGACTGTCAGGGTTTTTTTCTGCAGGATAGGGGCCCTTTTGGATGAGAGCAGGGGTATATTGCAAAATAGCCTTACAGCGCGGTTTAGGCTTTAGGGGCTCGGGAGTACCATTACTGAATACCGTTCCTACTTGTTCAGATCTTTATGTTCAAGGGTTTGGAGTTCTGGCTTGGGTCCCGAGTCAGGACTCGTTGCCGAGAGGGATTTCGCTGACAAAACGGCTGTATCAAACAATGTTCAAACATCGGGTAGGCAAGCAGTGGTTCCAGCGTGAACAAACCGCCAAGCAATACCCCTTTCCCACAAACCTTGAACTCTACACCCGAAGGCCCGGAACGTCACTTCATTTCAGGTGCCTCCTTGTTGTTTAAGGTGTCGCTCCCAGGGAACGGGCCTCGAAACACTCAGACCTGGCTTTCTTGGACTATCACGCTGACTTAGGAAGCAGGGTCATTCTTCGGCCTTGGAAAAAGGGAGTCGGAATACTTATCAAAACTATATTTGTCAGGGTTCCCGCCTTAATCTCTGTCATGTCGTTGTCATGGCCCTCCTTTTTGTTTAAGCACAAAACAGCGAGTTTCCAAGGTGCTCCAATGCAGGGAACTAGCTGCGAGGGGGTCGGGTAGGTCAGGTAGCTCTGAGTGCCCAGTACCCCAGGGGTCCATGTGCCCAGATAGTATAAACTTGGTCCCTAAACGTACCATATGTAGGGGCGACTTTACCCATAGGCCCCATAGTAGTTCCTTTTGGGGATTACCTTTCAACCCCAAAAGGAACTACTATGGGCTATGGGTAAGGCCGAAGTGTATATACCATTGGGTGCGTGGACCCTTGGGGTTATGGTACTTGTGGACCTCCTTACTCGGTCGACGGAAACTCCGCGTCTCCAACATCCGAAAATGGGGGACCCGAATACAGTACCTTAAATAAATAGTAGGATCCTTATTTCTAGGACCCCAAAATGAGGTACCCCGAATTTCCGGAAACTCCCAAACGTGGCCGCAGGTTTTGGGAAAGCAGTTCCGTGCACAACCTTCTTTGCACCCTGGCATCTGCAAGCACCGGTCTCCAAGCTCTCCTTGAATGGGTTCTGAAAAAGCGTCCAAAGGGTCCTATTAGGGTTACTATAAGGGGTATTTGGGGGGTTTAGAAACGGGGCCTAAATGACTACCTGAGGCCCGAAACCCTGCCACTTCTGGACTCTAAGGAAATCACAATGGGGACCGTCAGGTAGCCCCTGAACCCCCCAAAACCGCCAAGCCCGAAGCCCATGGCCAAGGCAGTGAAAGTACAGTACCGACCCCTTCCATAGGTAGGCTCCCTCGTATTAAGGCCCGTGAAGAGACAGGGCTTGCTACTTCAGCAACATCAGCGCTTACCTTGTGCATATCCGACGTGAGACATCCCGCAATTTCGCAAGTAAACCTTGAAGTCAAAGCCCCACTGGGTAAATGCGGTGAAAGTTATAGATGCCAGAAAGAGTCTTGATACCCAAGCTCTGAACCTACTACAGTATTTCATAGCAGCAGTCTACAGATTGCCGAAATTGAGAGGCGTTCACCCATGGCAAGTGGATTGAGGTCCCCGAGGGGTGCTCATGGGAGTTTTGGTGTTGGCGCAAGAAGTCAAACGCAGAAGGGTTGGCGGGGTCTAGGACATGGGAGTGAGTGTAGTATGATTTTGGGCTCATGTTAGGCCATGTAGGCCATGGAGGGAGCGCATGGGTGGGCCTTGGTGGGCTTCTTTTAGGGTGAAGGTTTCAGGTATCCCAAGTTAGCAAGGGTCCATGGATCCTACCACTAAAGCCCTAAACCCTATATACCCTGACAAGCATGAGCTCCATGCCAGTCCGCGAGCGAAGCTTCTTTCAAGGTGGGTCAACCTCCTCGGGCATTACAAGAAGTACGAGCTCGTCGTGGAAGGGTGCGGCTGCCTGATTTCCCGATAATAGGATTCCCAACCGCAGACCGTAGAACAGGGTAGCCAAGCAGAAATCCTAACTTTACGGGTCCAGGAATGGGGTGGGTGATATCAACATCCGAAACTGCTCAAACCAGCGAATGTTGGAATTGGCAACGCCAACTGAAATAGCCACTAAGATCACTTCATGAGAGCTTAGGGTACTTCAGTGCTCTTTATTTGCAGTAACTTACAGTAAGTATCCTACAACTTCGGTATCCTACAACTTCCGTTGCAGAGGACATAAACAAGGACGTGGACATAGCATCTGGGTGTGGCACGCAGCACCATCAACAGCGACGTGTTCATTGTCGTCATCGTCGTCACCATCATCATCACCACCACCACTACCATCATAATCTGTCATCTTCTTCATCATTATCACCATCATCATCAGCACCATCATCATCATCATCATCATGACTGCTAACGGCTTTTGCGCCGCCAACCAACACACCATCATCGTAGCAGTCGTCGATATCGTTGCCGTCATCGCCATCATCACGATACTTATCAGTTCATCATCACAATCATGACCATCCCTATCTCATCGCATCGCATCACATGCGCTCAGAACCCCGTCATCCTCTACGTTACCAGCGCCATCAGATCATCAACATCATCAACATGTTTGTCGTAAGCTGCAGCACCAGCAGCATCAACAGCAGCAGTATCAACACCATCAACATCAGCAGCAATGATTGTGCCAGCAGCCACATCAGAGTAATTGTCGGCACACATCGAAATGCATGCGGACGAGACTTATCGACCTCATCAACGATGCTAGCTGCCGTGCGCTGGCTAAAATTTGCATCCGCACCGGCCCAGCCAGGGGCGGTATGACGAACATGCGCAGTGAGGAATGCCGAATACTGCATGTTGAAGACACTCGCACTGGTAGATATAATAGCCAGCCTAGGAACGACGGCCTTCTACAACCAAGCCTAAACGACATATCCTAAGCATTTACCCTGACCAGAACCACTGAATCGCAGGTCTCGGAACCTTGATGGCCCGTATAAGCCCTACGGTTAGCCTTGCATGCATTGCGGAGACAGCTAAAGGCCTGAATGATCACCATGTGATTAATATTTCACTGCGAAACCTCTATTCGAGTCATTAAGGCCTTATATGAAGCCCTATAAATACCCTACACCTTTGACGGTAAGCCCTATCGCAGCACCTTTATGCAGAGCTCTTGCTCAACCCTTAAAGAAACCCCGCAAGGGACCCCAATGTAGAAGCCTGAAGAATTTCGATGCTATTCCTTAGGGTTCGTTACAACCCCCTATCATGAATATTAAGGCGCCTACATTAAACGTGCCACTCCTTCGACTTTGGAAGGCCTTTGTCGAATTTGCGCCAGTGCCACATCACCTTCAGCAAGCCAGCTGGCAGCAGATGAAGCTTCACGTTTAGGATTTAGGACTCTCCGCGATCATCAGGATCCTAAATATTAAAGGGACTTCTTGGGTTTATGTCTGGTTTCGGGCCAGCTGGCAGCAGATGAAGCGTCCTTTGCGGTTTTGGGTCCCGGGGTTAAGGGTTTCATAGGAAACTTCAGTTGTGGTGGCGCTCGGGGTTGCCCTTATGTAGGGTGCTCGCGGGATTTCCAGGGCACTGGGTTTTCCTCAGGAATTATGTTCATCGTGTTGTAGTATATATGCAGCTTGATAGTGTAGAAAAGCTTTTTTACTTTTTGGGATCAGGAGGATTATCGGGTTGGGATTGACGCTCTGGAATTTGGGGGGCATCGGGGGTTGAAACTGAAGACTTGGCATGTGGGGTTCGTGCACTTGGGCTTACGAGTTGAGGTTTCAGGGTCAGAGATTCCTGAGTACAGGTTTGTTATCCAGGATCCAATCCAGCCTTCGGGGCTTGTTGCCGGCAGCTAGGGTTTCGGTCTTGGCTTTCGGTTTAGACTTTAAAAATCCCGACAAAGAATGCTATACTTAGCCTCCCCCATCACCGTTCACACAACACTGAAGAGGCCCATGCGGCTTCCTTCACGCTACTTCGCCAAGGGTCCCATTGGTGCCGAGGCAGGGGAATCCACTATCTGCGTTTCAACTGATGCACGAAGCCCTGTTTGCTGTTGGGCTCCTGATGACAACCAATAGTAGCGCACTCTAAACCCAGAACTCCAAGACGGTCTTCGTGTTGAGGTTTTTGGTGCAATGAAACAAGCCTCATTGCAATTGAGTTCCGGCGGTTTGCGACTTCCGGGTGTGAATGTGCAATGAGAAGACCGTTGCGCACACGCCGGCACTACATTCCGGTCCTGTCGCAGGACAAGCGCCACAGAAACGCAATGCTGTCAAGAGCCTGCTCCACGCTAACTGCAACTTGCTAAACGAAAATGCAAACAATAATCAGATGCTTGCGTAAAGCTAAAGGTTAAGTTCATAATCAACATGTATTATGTGGGGTTTACCTGCTGCAAACCCTAAACCTTTATGAGAGCGGCAGAAGCCATAAGTACACAGCCATAAGAAAGCCTAAATGCACTGCACTATAAGACGCGACTATACTGTACTTTTCTGTAAACGATACAATGCTGAGCTAGACTAGGCTAGACTCGACTCACCTAACTCCAGTTACCACGGTAGGGAGAGACTCTTAATGACATATTCCCTCATCTTGTAGCTTGAAACACTCTTGAAACAACACTGTTCCACAAGTTTCCTGTAACACCTCACTTGAAAAGCCTGTTCAGCACTGAAGTGTCAGCCCAAAGCCCCAACCCATCGTAATAGTCATGTCGTTCGCCTCAGGCTTTCTCTTTTTCGGTTAGGTGCCTTTCGGCAGAATGCCGTCGTCGTACAACTGCATGCTTCTGACTCCAACTAGCTCCCCGTGTTTTAGGCTCAGGGTTTAATGCCAAAGCAAGCGTGGTAGGACAATACAGAGGCACAGGTGTTGGCTTGTTGATGCTGTTTGGTTTTGTTGAGGGTTGTGATGTGTTTCCCGGAGGTTGGTCAGTTCGATGATGAGAAGAGGGCAACTCGTCCGAAGATTTCTTTTCGGGGGTTTAAGAGTTGAGAAATCCACGGCTTAGAGCTTAAGCTCTAGCCCTAAAACCGGGATTACAGTAGGGGCTTAGCATTCGGGGTTCAGTGGCTTTGTGGTTTGGGTGAAAAGGAACTAGTTCAGTGATTGAGGGGATAATGCAGAGGCTTCACTCCATGGTTGCTGTGGTAGGGTTTGTTTTTTCGAACTCGCAGGCCTGCACGTTAGACAGGTTTCTTGCGGGGCCCGGCGGTGCTGGGCCCTTGAGGAAAGAACTCGGTAACCAATATAGAAGCCTAAAGATGTTGCTGATATTATTCGTCAGGGTTCCTCACAACTATATTAAAAAGGAGCCCTACGCTAAAGGCCCCTGCCTTAACCTTGGCCGTCCAAGGGATTTTGTTTGCACTTTGTTTGCCGAGCATGAAGATGTAGTAGGAACCATGCATATGCAATGCGGTGTGGTCTATGCTAAGCATTTTCGGATGCACTAAGGTTCGAAGCACTAGAGAAGCCTGACGGCTGGTGTTTTTGCGGGTTGATTGTGTTTGTAGGTTTTGGTGTCAAGACAAGCTGAATATCTCGAGGGGGCGTAAGGTCTTGAAGTGCCTAAGGGCCGGAGATCTATTCACATGATCCAGTACAAGCCATGTCAAGCTCATGCACAGCTTTTGACCTGCTTCAAGTCTTTGGGTTTTTCAAGCTTGCAGCGTTTACCATTACGGCCACCATGGCTTGGGAGAGTTGCCGCCCGCCCGTGAGATAGGCCCATGGTCCGGACGCCGAGTCAGCCCTACATGGAACCGTGCATGGGACCTCATTTAGGTTCCAGGTTTGCCTCGGGAGTTGCAAGACTCTCTCTCAGAATCCTTAAGACTCACACAGCCCAAAGCAGGTACTATTTACCAGTTTGCCCAAAGGGTCCAAGTTATTGTATATAGTGTATACTTTGGGGGCCAGATATCTACTAAGTACCTAGTATATTGGTACTTGGATCCTTTGAGGTGTTCGCGGAAGGCGACTGGCAACCTCTATGGTGCTGCAACGAAATTCGCATCAACCCAACCAACATTCCACCCTAGGCTACAGAGCCATTATAGTGCGGCCTAAACCCTCAAGCCTTGCATCGCATGGTAGTCAGAATATGTTAGGGCCGCCCACACGCAGTGGACTTGGGAGCTACACGCTGATGCAAGGGAACATGCAGATGACAAGACACCCGATCTGCAACGCTTGGCTACAGGACCAGACGGACATAGACCCTAAATCGAAACCCTAAAATCCTTTGCCCTGCAAGCAAGAAAGCCGGTTAGCCGTTATCCAAGCTACAAGATGGACATAAACCGTGAACCCTAAACCCTAACCCCCTAAACCCCGAACCCTAACCCTTAACCCCTTCGCCAAAGGACCAGATGGACATGGACTACTACCGGGGCGGTGGGGCCCCGGCAGCGTCGAGCACCAACGGCAACCTGAAGCATGTTCAGCCCTTGTGCCGGATGCTTCCATGAAACCTTGAGGCCTAGTGAATCCCTAAACGTTGAAGCCCTAAAGCCTCGCAACGAAGATCCCTGAACCGCAAACCGACCTACCCGAAAACCGATCTTAACTTACAGCAGGGATCATAAGGCTGACTAAGAGGTTCACTAACGGATCTACATTACCCTATGTGACCATGACGGCACTTCAGTTTCCATAAACCCTAAAACCCTAGCCCTAAACCCCTAAACCCCTAAAAGTTTGTGCCGCCTACAGAAAGAAAGTTTCCGGGGCTATGGCCTCGGAGGTGTCGGGCCCGAAGCTTGGGCGTGTGGCCCGCCCAGAGACTCCAAGACGCCTTAGATTAGTTGAGGAGTCTAAGACAGCACTAGCAATCATGCCCTCATATATCTGTTAAGGTAGTCCGCGAGTAGTTGGAGTCTAATACAGCGCTTGCGATCATGGCATAATGTAAGATATGTTCTGTATTCCGCTTGATAGGTGCTTTTTGGAGCCCGTCGGTGTGATTTCGGATTGTAGGTTGGCAGGAGGGACTGTCGCATTTCCAACTCTTGGTTTCCTCATCTCGGGATTCGGGGCACGCACCAGCTAATATAAAACAGCTCCAATTCTGCAATCATCGATGATTGTCGGGCTAAACAATGTCTCGTGTCTGAAGCTTGCGTGGTATGTGTTGAAACATTTTTCAGATGGTACTATCTTGACGTGTGTATATACGTATATACAGATTGATATACATGAGCGACTTTGTTATTTTGTCTTATTGAGTCTTATCGTGCTAAGAGTACAGATACGGGTTTTGCTAGCGCTACTTGGGGAACGAGATAGGGCCCGCAGTTAAAACGAGATGGTTAATAGAGTACACACTGTACATACTCATAGTTACTATATAGGTGTCAGTCATACTAATATGCTTGCTTAGATGGGTATATATATATATACATGTATGTATATATATATATATATATGCTTGTCATTGTACATTAGCAGATATAAATGTGTGTGTATAAATGTGCATATGTATACATACAACTCTACATATGTGTCGTTCTCTCTCTCTCTCTCTCTCTCTTCTTTTCTTGCTTTCTGTTTGTTTCTTCCTTTTCATACAGCAATGTGGCAGTCGTTTCCGAATAGCGTGAAGCGCACGTGTGGCATGGCCAATTTTCGGTTCCGAGTGTCGGATCAGAACGAGATTTATGAACCAGATAGTTTACATTTGCCACCTTGGTCCCAGAAGGTCAGCACCCATTCCTTGTGTAGACCAGTACTAGTACAAATAGCACTACTAGCAGTACCAGTATTACTAGTACTAGCAGCACTACTAGTACTACGACTAGTACTACTTTCATCCAAGGCTCAAAGAACACTGCCACTGCTGCTTCCACTGCCACTGCTCCTGCTACTGCTACTGCTACTGCTGCTGCTGCTAATGCTTGCGAAGCTGTTGCTCTTGTCACCGCTGCTACAGCATTGAACCTTTATGGCGTGCAGATATGTATGGCATGTGCTCGAACCAGATCCTGGGGAACCAAATAAGGGTCCGCAATAAGGAGACGCGTCCCTTAGCCGAAGACTAAATACACTTCGTCGCTCACACATCATTGTATTGTATTTGTTAAAAGTTGGAACATGGACACGTATTATCTTCAACATGAAGCTGCGCGCCAAAGCAGTAGATTCGAATCCCTCGGCCCTCAATCAACCGTTCCTGGACCCTCAACCCTGAACCTTCTCTAGTATGCCCTCGGAAAAAACTCCTGGACCCCAAACCAGAAAAATGCAAGAACGCGGAGGTAGCCCTTAAATCAAGGCCCCAGTCATTAAGACCCCGGCCACCGAATATTTGGCCCTGCGCATCCTCTGATACTATAACCCTCATAGATCCCTTTACTGGAGCCCTTCACGGAACCTCGGAATGGTCCGGTTTCGCCCCTATCCTTTGCTCATCCCAGGTATGGGCCCCGGCATGATGGCTCAGTCGATGGCACCAGTCCAGGCGACGCTGTTCTCCTTGGGGGCTTCTTCGGGAGTGTTCCAGGTTTTCAGAGCTTGGGGCTTCAGGGAGCCAGAGTTTAGGGCTCCAGGATGTGAGGGTGTAGGCTGTTTAAGCTTTCAGGGTTAATCAGGGTTCAGAGTTCATAAGGTTGAGTATTGCCTTGCGAATAGGGCATTGGGTGAAAACGGGTAGCAGCAGGATTTGCCAAACAGTAGTCAAGAAAGGCCTCCGCTTTGGTTCCAAAAGAATTCAGAAAATGCGAATGCCCCAGTATACTTCCCAAACATGGGAGCCCCAAGGTAAGTGCAGACAAAAGGAACCCAACTACAACAACATACCCACGGCCGGGTAAAATTATGTTTCAGGATTTCCTAGAGAGGCCGCTTGCAAAGACCCTGCACCGCCGAACCTCTACACCTTAAGCTCTTACACGCTACATTGCCGCTACATCACCCCACCCAAGAGACTGGGTTATACTAAAAACTTAGATCAGTTGATTTCTTAGGAATCAATTGATTCCTACGATTTCGTCAACGCCAAGATTAACCGAAATTGAAGCACACTTTTAAAAAATAATTTGTGGAAACGAGGAGAAGGTGCGTACAGATTTTTAACCCCCATTGCGTTGTAGATTTCGTGAGAATCTGTACAGCAGGGTTTTGTAGAATCCGAGAGATTCTCTCGGATTCTGTAGAACCGGCCGGGGCCAAACTTCCACCAAACTTCCACACCCCACGGCTGAAACTTCCACTCGCTTTTTGGTGCTTGAAAGCTAGGTTTTCCGTGGTTTTGAAGACACAAACCACCAACAGATGATCACTTTCGGCAGCTGCTTCTGTGTGTTTGTGCCGACAAAATACAGCCCCAAACTTCCACCAAACTTCCTCTCCGACCCGGCCAAACTTCCACAGCCCCGGCCGGAAGTTTAGAGGAAGTTTCCTCGAAACTTCCTCTCCGCAGCCCCTCCGCCGAACAACCGAAAACGAAGAAATCTGTACACATTTCTTCGCCCTTAGCTTGTCCGTTTTACAAATTCAATTGATTCCTACGTTCTGTTGATTCTGTGGTTTTTAGTATAACCCAGTCTCTTGGGCAATGCCCTTGCACTCTGAACTCCACGCCACCCTAAAGCTCTGCGCAGCTGGATGCCCAGCCCCAAAAGCCCATAACCTCGAAACCACGTAGCAGAAGAAGCAGCCAAAAGACACAGTAACACAGCACAGCTCACTCCCACTTGTTGCCAGGCGCCTTCCAAGTACTTCAACGGCCCATCCATGCACCACGGCGGCAGTTTTCGTCATTGTAAGGTCTTGGGTTTTGGGGTTTGAAGTTTACAAATTTGCACTGGGCGAGTTGGGGCGAAGCGAGTCCAGGCCTCTCAGTTTGGGAATTGCTGCAGTCACGTCATGAGGACCTACAATCCTCCTAAACCTTACAGAACCTTGTTTTTGGTAGGGCCCCTATAAATTGTGTATCAGGGTTCATAAGCAGAACCCACCCAAAAAGCATGTTATGGCAGCTTAAGATAGAAAACCAAAGCCTGCATCCTAGAATCTCATCCTTCAATCCTAAAGCTGAAACCCGATCATCGCAAGCACCTTCAACTTGTACCTCAAAATCCTCACACACAAAACTTGAGGATAGGAGGCCCCGAAAGCCTAAAATCTCAACCCAGAACCTTGAAACACACGGTCGAGATGTACATAGGCGCGGGTAGTTGTCAGACAATCAGCAACAAGGGTGCCAAGAGATAGCTGTAGCAGTGAAGTGAGAGAAACCCGAAAGACTCCGAACGAAAGGTGCAGCCAGAGTGACCCAAAGCTTTCAGCATGGGCCTGAGCCCTTAACCATCCATAACCCAAAACCATTTCACGGACACCCCTAACCTATAAGTCTATACTCCTACACCAGCTGCCCCTAAAGACCTGGAGCCTAAAAGTTGAAACCAGGACCTGAACGCTAAGAGACAGCCAAGTCTAACAACACTTACTACGACTGATCACAACAACCATTAGAGAGCCCCCCCATGAAAAGCCCCTTCCCAAGCAAAAGACCTGAACCCTTAGCCTCAACCACCAAGCCCTACATGCTAGAATGCAGCAGCCCTACGAAAGTAAATCCTTGAAAGCCCAAAGAGAAGGTACAGCCAGAGCGGAAGCCTGTCCGCATCGCAACGCAGCGAGCGCAGTCAGGCTTCCATGGACCGCACGAAAAGGCGCGGAGGGGGCTGTAAGCGGGCTTACCCAAAGGCTCCAGTTACTGAAACACTAGGTTACTAAGCATAATAATGCATTTCCAAATCACCCAACATCTGGGTAACTCGAGCCCTGGGGGATATGCGAGGATGTCAGCCGTTTGCGGCAGCTTACCGTTCAGGATTCAGGGATTCTGTGTGTGTCGGTTTTAGGGTCAGAATTGCCCAAACGACAAGTGTCCAGACTCCAGGCTTGATTGTGTAGGGTTTTTGAGGACATGCAAACAAGGCAGTTTCCAGTGTAGGGTTTCTAGGTTGTAGGCTTCGGGAGAATTCAAAGTTCGGGCCCAGAAGAACCCCCGAGCCCCACTGCCCCAACAAAACTCTACCTTCCCCACATAGGCAGCAGAAGAAGCCGACAAAAGCCGGGCATGCGGCATGCGGCAACTGAAGATCAGAAGCACCTTCGAGCAACGCAGGTCTTCTAAGACCCCTAAGTCTGAGCCGCTACACCAGCTCGCGAAGATTTCCGCTGTTAGGGCCTCGGGGCTTTTCTGAACCTCCCGATAGCCCCTAAACCTTGCAAAAACCCCAAACCCTGACATCCTAAGGCCTAAGCTGCACCCCACCCCACCCCACAGGAAGAGCAAGAACTTGCGGAAGCAGGGTGGCACGTCGCAATCCCAGGGCTCCGCATACTCGTCGCCCCTCGGCAGCCGGAACTGAGACTTGGGAGTTCACGGGGTTTGATCATGGGGTTGAGGGGTTTCGGGTCCAGGGGTTATTGAGGGGTTTGGGGGTTGACTAAGGGGTTTTGGGGATATATTACAGGGTTTAGGGGTTAATGTTAATTAACGGGTGGGGTTTTGGTTTTAGAGTATTGCGAGCCGGATGCTTTGTTCTCGAACCTGTTGACATCGCAAATACCCCTTAACAGTACCGAAATCAGAAAACTCGAACGATGTTTTGTTATTTAACGCTGCATGTTGGTGGGGTTTCCAAATGGGTTTGGTGACCGCCCATGGAGCTCCTCAAAGACGTTGGTGTACTTCGCACCACCACCAAAATACTGTCTCATATGTTGAACACCAGGTTTCTTTTATGGCCCCGGATAAATCTCATCCTTGCTTGTGGCTGCTGCTAGTTTTAGGTGGCTTCGTCAGACAAGCCAAACCTGTTCTAATCGTGAACCGTGCTCGCTGCCAAGATGTTCAGTGCTGTAGTGTTCAACATCCTAGAAATCCACATATCCGCAAAGCAAGATCGTCCAGCAATTCTGTCCCAATCCGCTGACCCTACTTTGGCCCCCGTACTACAATCTTAGCTGACCCGGAGCCCCAATGAACCCTGGGGCCTCAACCCCGAAACCAAAAACGCCTTGGTTTTTTCAGCAAGAACAGGCGCACTAAAAGCGATCAAAGCAACACTGAAGCCCCTGACCCCTTCAACTCGTGACCCCTTAAGCCCTAAGCCCTCAAACCTTTATGTAAACCCTGATCCGTAAAACCCTTAGACCCTCAACCCTCAACGTGAACCTCGAGCTCTAAACTCCCAGCGTTTCCCTGACGAGGCCGGAGGCCCAAGCTCCCTGCTCCTATAGGTTTGTTAGGGTTTAAGTTTTAGGGTTTAGGGGTTTAGGGTTCAGGTTTTAGGGTTTAGGGTTTAGAGGTTGCGATAATTTTTTAGAGTGTTCTACAATCACAACAAGGCCAACCCAAAGCCCTGAACTCCTCCAGCCCCATCCCATGATGATAAGGAGTGGCTTTGGCGAGAGCATGATGTCCCAGGAACACTTGCCCGACGGGGAAAGCATTGTTGGGCTTAGACGGTGAGGGCTGATGGCATTACATAAGGATCACGATTTCTGATTTGGGGTGAGAAAGTTGAAGATGTGGAATGGAGAGATCGTGAACGTTGGCGTTTGGAGCCGCAGTTCTCCGGTTTGAGGGTACAGAGGTTTGGGAGCAGCACAAAAGGTGCTTAGACAGGCTGATTCGTTGCGCACCGGCTTTGCCTGGCTCTGTGCTGGTGATGCAAGTTTAGGTCTCTAGGACTGCCGGGATAGTAGCGCTGAGGCTTCCGTCCGGATGTTTTGGTTCTGTTTCCAGGATGACTAGTTGTTGTGAAGATAAGACTCCATAGGTACATATAGGGACCCATCTCTTTCGCCTTGAGGTCAGGGGTGGCCTATGAGCCAACATGCACAGCCTGCAGGGGCCCAATTAACGACAGCAGGCACTCGGGACAGATTTCGTTCTGCCTGCAACTTGAATCTATAGTAGACATGTCAGCAAGCTTCGGGAGTGTTTGCAGTTTGCAGCGCTCTACAGCCGCCGTGTGCATGTAGGGTCAAACCGTTGCTTCAAGGTTCATGTCTGGTGCTTTCGGAAATTGTCTTGAAGCTCGCCCGGCTCGTAAAGGAAAGGCGGTTTTGGTTTGCAGGGCCGAGGCAAGCCGTAAAAACCCCCTCGCTTTCAACCGTGGGGTATGACTGCCACCTGCTGGTGGTATGACTACCACTACTGCTGGTGCTGCTCCTACTACTACTACTACTACCACTACTACTACTACTACTGCTGCTACTATACAGTAACCACCACTACCACGACCACTGCCACCACCACCACCACCACCACCACCACCACCACCACCACCACCACCACCACCACCACCACCACCACCACCACCACCACCACCACTGCCAATACCACCACCACGACCACCACAACCACTACCACCAATACCACCACTGCCAATACCACCACCACTACAGCCAATACCACTACCACCAATACCACCACTGCCAATACCACCACCACTACCACCACGACCACCACAACCATTACCACAACCACTACCACCACTACCACCACTACCACCACTACCACCACCACCACTACTACCACCACCACCACTACCACCACTACTACGACCACTGCCACCACCACCACCACCACCACCACCACAACCACCACCACCACCACCACCACCACCACCACCACCACCACCACCACCACCACCACCACCACCACCACCACCACCACCACCACTACAGCCGATACAAATACCACCAATACCACCACTGCCAATACCACCACCACGACCACCACAACCACTACCACAACCACTACCACCACTACCACCACTACCACCACTACCACCACTACCACCACCACCACTACTACCACCACCACCACTACCAGCACTGCCGCTGCCACTGCCACAACCACGACCACCACCACCACCAAAATCACCACCACCACCACCACCACCACCACCACCACCACCACCACCACCACCACCACCACCACCACCACCACCACCACCACCACCACCACCACCACCACCACCACCACCACCACCACCACCACCACCACCACCACCACCACCACCACTGCAAGTACTCATAGTTCCAGGGAAATGGTAATTCCAACCAACAGCCATAGTTCCAGTTTAATAATGCCAATGAGCATACTCATAGTTCCAGTATAACAATAACAACTGTCAGTTCAACAACATAGTTTCCAGTATATGGATGTCCAGTATACGACTAAGTAGTTCACATAGGCATATAGCCAAAATCGTTCAAATCATGGCAGCCTCCCAGGAAGAACCGGCCCGGGGCCTAAATCTCTATCATCGAGGATACGGCACCCTCAGCCCCAAACACTAAACCCGCAACCCTGAACCCTATAAGCCCTGTATAAGACGGGTTTATACGTCTATAGGGCATGAACCCCACTAAACCCGAAGTCTCAAACGCACGCGTCGCCAGGACCTATGAGCAAGGAGGATGAGAAGGAAAGAGGTGCACGAAAACAGAAAACAGGCGCAGTTCCCCGCCACGAAACCCAAAGACTCGAACGCCCCTGGAGTTTCGGGAATGTGCGAATCTGCAATTTCTGTCATACTGAGAACCTTTTTAGACTTCAAGATCTATATTCCTAAGTGGTGATGGGCCCTGTTGACCTTTACGATGTTTCAGCGTCTCTGGGACTTGCAGCCATGCTGCTCTTGTACATGTCAGTTTCAGGTTCGACAAGTTCTTGCAGCTCTTTGGGGTCCTAGTTCTGCTACATGACAGGAGTCTATTGTCACAGTATTCCCAAATAGCTTGTTCACTTCATGTTAGCCACAGTTTGTTTGTCTGTCATCTGTTTATTGCTCGTTGTACAGTTCGGAGCCTGATGAAGCAAGACTCCTGTCCCCCAGTAGTACCCTGATGCACGTTTTGACTGGTTTCGGGTTCAGGGTGAGGTTGAAGGGTATCCTTTTCGTGACGGGGCGACATAGTAGCCTAGAATCAGCAGACCTTTGTCCTTTAATACCCGGGCAACGTGTATCCGAACGTCTCCACCTTAGACCCGAAGCCCGACGAAGAAGGAACCCTAAACCTTAAACCTCAAACCCTAATCTGTCCGGCTGCTGGCCATCGATATGCGCATTTCTGAACGCCAAGCCCGACGCCCTATGCCAGGAAGATTTCGGGAATGCAACAGCCAAATGCAGGTTTTGAGGAAAGCTGCCAGAAGTGAAAGTGGCAGATCAACCAGGTGGGATCCGGGGGAGGTCAGATGTTTGGAGGGTATTCAAAGGACCAGGTGACTTACTTTTGGGTTTAGGCTGTTGGGTTTGGGTCAGAGGGTTAGCCACATGTAGGGCAACTATAGTTCTATCTATATCCACTTACAACCCCATACTAATTCGGGACAGAGTTGTCCACCCTTTGCACTGGGTGCTGTGCCGTGTGAGTGTTCGCAAATGCGTCCTTGAGTTTTGGCTTATGAACTGAGAAACCCTTGTTTTGGGAAAGTCTCTAGGTGAAGTGTTCTACGCAAGCCTTGCATTTCGCAGGTTTTCGGGCTTTCGGTTCTGGGTCTCGGGTTTGGTCTTGAGGGGTGGTAGGGACTGCTACTGGAATTATTTGGGAGTCGGGGTTGAGGATTCGGGGTTGCGGGCTTAGGGTTGGTTTAGTAGTTCAAGTCTCAGACTGTCTATGGAATAGGAGTCTGTGGGTAAAATTATAGTGTAACAGGCCCCAAAACCCCATTCTCCCTAGTTAGGCGCCTATATTACGGTTGGGGGTCTTGGGCTTGAGTCGCTGTTGTATCCTCAAGGGGCCCATTTGGGGCTTTGGGAGGAGCGGACATAGGGGCTCAGGGTTTAGGGTAAGCTACTGATGGAAAAGTGCAAAATTGAGACACTTCGCACCCCAAGCATACCGTTTACCACACCAGAAAGCTACAGTCACGGCAGCGCAGACCACGGCCAACGTTCCGAGACTCATAACCTGAAACCGCCTCGACAAGCCTGAACCCTATCCCTCCAAGGACCTCGTAGTTAATTAGGGCCCTAGACCCCTTAAGGACCCCAGAATAAGGTCCCTGGAGGCATAGGGAAAAGCTTTGAAATCGCAAATCTCTCGTCAGCCGAATCTCGTAAATGAGCGCCGTGACCGTGTGGGAAGAGAATGCAGTCGAAGACCTCAGGCAAAATCCTGTTCACAGTCATGTAGTCCCGACACAACCGCCAGACGCCCCGGATGTTACAGCTCTAACCCTGAACCACTTCAGGCCCCCAAAAAGGCAGGTTTGTGTGATCATTAGCCCGAAATCCCTGCATAATTAAACCACAAAATAACCCCAAAGCCCAAAACCCTATACCCTAAACTATAAGCCTTCTTTATCAGGTGGACCACCCCCGGGGGGAGACGAGCACACCCAAAAACTCGCGGCGGCACTCGCCACCAAAACCCGCGCGCAGAGCTCTCGGCTCGGCGCCGACCTCACGTGGCCCAGCCTGGGAGACCTCTGAGCCCTGAAGAGACACCGGATTTCTATTATAGAGGCCTTAATCATTACCTAGACTCTTTTGGGGGCTCCTTAATATGGTTATAGCACTGTAAGAAGCCCCCTATAAAGCAGCCACTGCCTCACGCCTAATGCTGCTCTTACACGGGGTGTCCTGGGCTGGGCCCGGGGTGCCAAATGAAAGCCTCCCGGCGGAAAGGCCGCGCAAAGACAGCGAATCGGCCCGGGATTCGTGAAAAAGACAGGGTATGCGAGGGATTGAGGGGCTTGAGGCTTCAAGATCTTAAGGTTTAGTGGATGGGTGTCTCAGCTTTATCTTACCATTCCTCTCGATGCTGTTGAAGTCTTGTAAACAATGAAGCTGCCGTCAGTTGCCGCAAGGCGTACGAAAGGTTGCACTGCTCCTTTGAATGGGCTTTAGAGCAAGGGCTCAGGCTTCAGCGCCTAGTAGTTTCTATGATCGATGTAAACCGGCCCCAAAACCGCGGTAAACTTTACAAGCCCCTTGCACCTTGCAATATCCTTGAAATCTGAAAATTCTCTTACGTGTTCTAGAGACCCCTTAAGATCCCAGTATCCGAATCGAATCCTACTCCCCCAGACTTCTACCCACAAAACCCTTAAACCCGACTCCCTAAACCTGAAACTCCTGAAGCCCCTTCCACCGCCGCCCAAAAAGCAAACCCAACCCTGAGCTCCCAAACCCGAAACCCTGAGCCCTACCTGGGGATCCAGACCTACTGTTTTAAGTGTTATACCCTCTAATTAAGGGGTCATAACCTACTATTTTGTAGGGTTTAGGGATAACGGTAAACCCTAACCCTAAAACCTCAACATGTCCTGGCTGTCGCTCTTTCGGCTCCCTGACAAACCGCCAGTAGAGCTGGAACCCGCTTGTGAGACTCTGGGGATCATGGCGGGGGCGAGTCTTGGCTGCATTTTCCAGATGTAAATTTAGCAGACTCTTATCTAGTAGTCTCACTGTTTCTCGTGGAGTACCTAAATTATATTCGTCGCCATGTTGAAGTCTCATTTTCTAGCCATGTAGCAGCGTCTCTGTGTGTGTGTGTGTAGACATGAGTGTATTATGACTTTCTGAGAGTGCTGTGTATTGTGACTTTCTGAGGGTGGCTCATACATGATGGCAGGCAGTTCGTAAAGCCCGCAGCGCCCAAACCCTAGACCTCCCAGCCTCAGAACTACGGACAGCCGCAGACAAGAAACCCTTAGAAATCTAAGCGAGAAACCTCCAAAAAAGGACTAAACTTTTAAACACATAAGATCGTGACCCCTCTCCGGCCCAAAATCGCCAGCCCCTAAAAGGGTGAACCCGAAAGCCCCATTTTTCCTAAACCCTAAACACCCTTAAAAGACCCCTAAACCCAAAAAAACTTAAACCCTCAAAAACCCCTGTAAAGCCACCAAAACCCCCTGAGGTCTTTCGCTCAACATTCATGCGAGACTGGGCCTCGGTTTCGGGTGGATTTTTTTGCCACTTTACAGGATTTAGGGTTTACCTTACCGAAACCCCCCAAAGTAGGTAAAACAATGGCCCAATACCCATAAAAGGCTGTTATTCTACATACTTTTGGGTCCACGTAACCCCGAAGAACCTACACTTTCAAGGACTTGTATAAAGAAATCATAACAAGGAGCCCTAAAAAGTAGGTTATTCAGGGTTAAGGTAGGGCTTAGGTTTTGGGGGTTTGGGTTTAGGGGCCTTAGGGTTCAGGGTCTGCGGGTTTGGGGATTAGGATTTAGGACTGTAGAATAGGGCTGCGCATTTAGGTTTTAAGGCTTGGGGTTTAGGGCTTTAGCTGAACCCTATCCCCCCAAGGACCTCATAGTTTTAGGGCACTAGACCCCTCAAGGACCCCATAATAAGGTCCCTGGAGGCATAGCTGAAGGCTCGAGCTGTAGGGTTTTTGCGGAGTCTGGGTTTGGGGTTTCATGGCTCGGGGATAGATGAGGGCTTGGGGCCTGTATGGTCTACATAGGGACAGGGTTTGGTAGGCTATTTATAGGGTTTATAGGGCTTATAGGGTTTGTCGGGCTTATAGGGTTTGTAGTGTTCACAGCAGGTCTAGGGGTCAACCCAACTCGTATACAGGCTCTTGTAAAATCACACCCAGTTGAGCCTGACCGGCACAGCGGAAGTGTCGCGGAAATCAAAGCCAGCCATGGCTGCTCACGAGAACGTGGCCGTGGTCGACTGTCAAACCTTGGAGAACATCTTCACGGGATAAGTGGACCAGGCCATGAAATGGGAGCCAAGCACGTGCGGGTGCCCCGGGCAGATGTGCACTGGAGCTTCATCTCACGCCCGAGAGCGGTTTCAGCGTGTGCTTCTTGCAAGGAGAAGCTTCTATCGCAAGCCCAACACACTCATGATTCGCGGCGGGCTTCAGCTTTATGGTTCAGGCTGTAAGGGTGTGCGGTTTAGAGCTGTCAGTGCACCGAGCATGTAGTTAAACCCTAAAGTTGAGCCCAAAGCGAACATCGCTCTTCCTGGACGGCTTGACACTGTAAATCAGGGCCGGAAAGCGTAAGATTTTCTCCGAAACTCGTTTGTTGTTGCATTCAGATCCTCGCACCCTGGCACTTCCCATCGCCCGAAGTATAGGCATGATCTACGAACATGAGACACCAGCATAGCTATTCGGTGTATTCTTGGAGTCTCCGGATTCTGGCACCAAAAGACCTAAGACCCTCGCACTTGTAGTCGTAGTCCTTACCAGCACCTTGCATCGACAGCCTTTAAACTCGAGCCCGGAGTCAGGTCTTCCTTTCCTACGGCCACCCCAACCCATACAGCCCCGGGGTTTAGGGCGTAGGAGCTCTAAACCTAAACCTTAAACCCCAAACCCTAAAACCTACACCCTAAACCCTAAACTCTAGACCCTAAGCCGTACATGCTAAACCCTGAAGCATAGAAGATTGAAAAGTTGCTGCAGCCCACAGCTCCGGCGGCCAG